TTATTATAGCAATTTTTCTACCCTCAAAGTTTCCTCTCCTAGTGCATGGAATAAGGTAAAATGAACTGTTATCAACTGACAATGGTAGAAAATTATCATTTGTATCAGATCACAATTTAAATTGAGATATTAAAATCTCTGCTCATGCAGAGTAATTTAGGGTCTGTTCCCACACACAGTTACATATGGAACAGCATTGTGGTGAGTAGTCGTAGTTTTTCCAGAAAGGTTATCCCTGTATACACTTAGAAGAAACTTTTTACTTCTTCATAAGCTACGAATTCATTCTTGTTAATTTTAATGCTTATTAAAGACAAAACCAGTGATGTCTCCAGCTCAGTCTGCTCTCCCTCCAACCTCCTCATTTAACTTTCCCTCCTCTCAGCCTGCTGCTTCCACTGCCTGGTAGACATTAACAAGTTGGTATGGTAAGTGTAGTGTACTCCTACTAAAACAGAACTTAAGACTTATTACAACTGGAGGTAACACAGAATCCAATTAAATTTGCAGTTGTAACACAAACCAGTGTAAATCCTTAGCAAGGCAAATGACTTTGTTATAAAACAGCAAAAGACAACTGCTCTGAATTGTGCTCCAGGAGCACTCCTAAATCTCTCTTATCCCTCCTCTGTCCATCATTCCCTTGTTAACTCCAGCTCTGAGTCAGCTGCTGCCTGCCTGACATTCTTTGCCTATGGGGGAAGGGGGGGGGGGGGCGGCAGAGCTCACCTTCCCGGGGACAGCCACACCATTTTCAGCTCTTTGTTTTTCTACCAGCTCTTATCAGGAGCCACACATAGAACTGGCCAGCCCTGCCAGGCAGATAGGACACACCAGCGGGACACACGTGGTTCTCAACAGGCAGAGTCACAGCGAGGTGCATCTTATCATGGGGGCATGGGAACACATCTGTCCATGGAGGTTTCACTTGTCATCTTTGTCAGGAAGCTATTACTCTGTTCTGAGAAAGATTCCAGAGATGGATGCAGCACCAAACTACAGGGGAAGACGACTGTCTGATCACATTACATGACGCATGAGCATGTCCTGGGCTGGCTGATGCAGCACGGAGACTGAAGTCACCGTGTTCCTTCAGTGCAACAACCACCACTGACATGCATGCCAAGCAGTCATGGAGTGCCTAGGAGGCTCTGACATAACCTAGGGAAGCAGCATTACAGCATTATGTAAACACAAAGTTGAGAGCATGGATGGCAATAAAAAAAAAGGAAATACATACCAGAGCAAAGAACAGGATCACACTGAAACTCTGCAACTATACAACTAGTGTGACAGCTTTATGAGGAAATGGATTTTTTCCACATCTTCTAAGTCTATGGGTAAAAGTTTCAACACTTTCAGCAGGTATGAAAACAGTTAGACAAGTATGAGCTTGTTCAAGACTTTCATGCTGCAGATGTATGAGTTGAAGTCTCAAGAGCAAAGTTTAGTATACAAAAAAGAGAAAGATAACGAAGCCACCTGTAGATGCAGCTGATAAGTTCTGTCCCAGTATCAGCTGTTTTCTTTAGCTAACAACTTACTCTATAAACCGAGGAGGGTTTATAGAGTAATACACCTCCTGTAGAGTCGCAGTCATGTCAAATTAAAAACTCATCAGACGAAGAGGAAAAAAAACCCACTTACTTGAACTGCTGTGTCCCACTTGTATGAAGCATATGGTCAGACAACATGCAATGTAAGTAAATAACTATATGGTTTAAACAAAAACTGCATTCACTTAAGTAAGAGAGGCAAACAGTATACAAGATCTGCAGCCCGGGTATAAGATTCAAAACAGGATTTGGAGCAACCTCCCATACACACCCTTTTCCTTTCTTTCAGTGAAAGACAACTGAACTCTAAACAGACAACACTCCCTGGCAAACCCAAATAATAAGGCACAAACTGAATGAGCAGCATGGGAAAAGTCTCTTAAGATTCAGCACTGACCTTCTCAGTTCAAACTGGAACGTGCAGATACTACAACCAGCAGAAGCCACACTGTCACCCCCTCCCACTAAACAATAAGTGAACATATGCAACCAGTTACCTTTCACAAACTCAAATTTTCCTTAAAAAGTAAATTATATAAATCATAGTTTCATTTGCATGATATTTCTATATCTCTCCTTTCTCTGGTGATCTTCATGTAAACAGTCATGAGATAGATAATATTACAGAATACTAAACCATCATTAGATTGGAAATACTTTCACAAACAGAAGCCAAGATGAGTTTAGATATTGCTCTAGGGTAGGGGAAAAAATGTAACCTAGTAAACCCAACCAACAGAATAGTCTATTAAACCCAGCTATTAAAAAAAAAAAAATTAAAAAAAAAGCAGCTATTAAACCCCAAAAAATTGCAAGATTAATGTGGTGCATTCATCAGGACAAGAATTCCAGAGCCCTGTTCCATCTGCCCCCTTGCTTTATCGGAGGTCCTTAGCACACTGTTTGCTGGCTGGTCTGAATTAGCATTCTCCTTCATGACTCAAAGGGTCTCATCTGGCCTGATGCTGAAAATATCCTAATCCAGTGTCTTCTGTAAATTGAGACCACTACTCACTACAGGCAGAAACAAGAAAAGAAACAATTGCTGGCTTTGAACTGATTAAGGATTATATTGCATCAAGTACTGCTTGAAATACAGCAACTGTAATAGAGAAAGAGATACACATTTCCCCAAGCATTTCAGAAATAGTGCAGATAGTGCTCCTTGCCGCCTTCCATGATAGGCTGATGCCATCCCAGTTTGGCACAGATGAAAGATGTTAAAATCGAGGAGAAAGTTAAGCATTTTTTGAGTTATTTAGCTGTATTTAATTAAAAACCACAGGTAACAAACATAATTTCTTAGGTTCTAGCCATTCATTTTTCAACATGCAAGTAACTCAAGTGACTTCTAGTAACATACGAAAACAACTATTTCTATTTTCTGCTATATTCCATATATTCAGAAAGCAGAAGAACTCAGCAATCACACTACAGTACTATTCCACCCACATTTAGAACATGAAAAATATAACTGAAACTCAGGAACTGGGCTTGAGGCACTTTACAAAGTCTGGATCTGCAGTACATGCACTAGATATGGACTTTCAGAAAAAGTAACAGGTGTAATAGAAGTGAAAAACTACATAATACAGATTCTTCTACTCTGTTTTAGTTGCTCAGTTACTCTGATTTGCTCCAGCACCCTACTCCATGTTTGCCACCAGCTTGGCCACATTCACCTGGAGCCTGAAGCCCTTTGATTGTATCTCTCCTGTGCTATGCTGGAACTGAATCAGCAGGTGCTTCCCTTGTTCCACATGGGCCTGTGTATTTCTCCTTATTCTCACCTTTCATCCTACGTACTGCAGTTACTTAATTCAGCCAGTGCTGCATTGTTGTTCATTAAACAGAAGCTGTATGAAGGAGTCAGGATTGCCTCCTGCTCCAGAACACCCATCTTCAAAGGCCATGAATTCACAAAGCATAGTTCTATAATTATTTAATGCTTCATTAAACCTCTTTTTTGTAAAAAAACACAGTGAGTCTTTGTTGTGGTCACAGAGGGCTCAGTGGTATGAGCTGGAGCTGCCGAGAGCCCTTCAGGTCCTCGCTCTGTGCAACGGGTCGTTCTCTCCCCATTCCCAAGGCAGCTCCACAGCCCAAAGCCTTAGAACCCTTTTGAAGAACCAGGGCTGACAGGAGGTAAAGCTCTTCCCATAACACAGCTGCCTGCCATGCAGCTTCCTTACACACACAACCAAATTGGACTCCAAAACAGGTGAGGCCTCCAAGAAAGCGTGTGTGCATCCTAGAAAATCCTAGCCAATGGAGAGGGAGGCCCAGAGACTCAAAAGCATGGAAGACCAAGCTTAATTCACTGTCTGGGAAATATATGAAACTCATTGTCTACGTAGAACTGCATGAAGTAAATAAAATTGCAAATAAAATTAAAAAGCGCTAAGTTTTTTTTTTTATTTCTTTCAGGTACAATTTTCTATTGTTTAGCTTGCGCCCAGTGTACAGGAGAAAAGAACAAGAATGAACACATAAGTATTCAGAACAGAACGTGCTGTTCCAAGTCTTTGAGTCAGCGGTGCCCTGGCAGCCAGGAGGGCAACCATATCCTGGGGTGCCTCAGGCAAAGCATCGCCAGCCGGTCGAGGGAGATGATTGTCCTGCCCTGCTCTGCTCTGGGGAGGCCTCACCTTGAGTGGCAATTTTCATCATCACAATATAAGAAAGATATTAAGCTCTTAGAGAGCATGCAAAGGAGGGCAATGAATATGGTGAAGGGCCTGGATTTGGAGCCGTGTGAGGAGCAGCTGAGGACACTTGGTTTGTTCAGCTGGAGGAGACTGAGGAGAGATCTCATGAGGGGAAGAGGAGGGGCAGGCACTGATCTCTTCTCTGTGATGACCAGTGACAGGACCTGAGGGAACAGCCTGAAGTTGTGTCAGGGGAGGTTTAGGTTGGATCTGAGAAAGAGGTTCTTCACCCAGAGGGTGGTTGGGCCCTGGAACAGGCTCCCCAGGGCAGTGGTCACAGCACCAAGCCTGAGAGAGTTCAAGAAGCATTTGGACAATGCTCTTAGGAACATGGTGTGACTCTTGGGGATGGTCCTGTGCTGGGCTAAGAGTTGGACTCAATGATCTTTGTGGCTCCCTTCCAACTCATGATATTCTGTGATTCTGTGATTTTTAGTGGTAGCAAATTCATCCTCCCCCACCCCATAAAACCAAATGTCTCATGTAATTCAACTAAATTCAGATGTTTGCATACTGAGTTTCTTCTGTGTGGTGTCAATCACCTTGTTGCTGGTACATGTGTGATTCAACCATTTCACCTCCTTTCTTGACCCTCCTTACCCTCAAATCCTTCAGGTACTGAGCAAAGAGAATATCTGTAACTGGCCGATCACAGGAAGCGCAACCTCTCTTCACTGGTTCAAGGTACCAGTGCATAAATACACTCATTTCCAACAGATCAATATCCAGGTCTTACCTTTGCAGGTGAAGCATTTGATGTGGAAGTGTCTGGCCTGAACACGGAGTACTTCACCTTTACATGGCTCCCCACATTTATGGCAGTGGATGACTGGCTTTTCAGAGGGGTGGTGAGGCTCCTGAGGATGGGCCACTGTAAAACAAACAAACAAACAATATTTCAACCCAAACAAAAAGAATATTTTCTCCTGTACATAACTCTGTGTTCTCAGACACTTTTGACCATAATACAAATGTATCTGGTCCTATTTTAGGCTCATCTAAAAAGTCACCACCATTTTATTTAAATATAGTCTTTTCATAAACCAGTAGTTTAAGCCATTTACATCAACTACTACCTCTTTCCAGTGAGGCTGCCATGGAAAGACGAGGAAAAACTGTCCCCACAGTTTCAGTGCCACAGAGCATTTCGGAATGCCTACAGTTTTCTATCCAAGAACATGAGTGTGTGCTTCTCCAATGGAGGAGCTAATTTAATCCAAGAAAAAAATAAAATCTAAGCAAAAAAGATTAAAGGAAAGCAATGCCAAATCAAGTTCTGGGAAACCAGATAAACCAGGCAGTCTATATGAAATGACTACACTAAATATAAACTACAAACATCTCCTTTTTGCTACAGCAGAGACACAGGGAAAGCACTCCTGAAGAGAAAAGAATACATTATTTGTTTTTACTCCCATTAATTCTAGCAGAAATTCCTCTCTGCATTCAACTTAGAGAAACTATGAGTAGGCAGAAATTACCAAAGTATATGCAATATAGTCAGGGAGACACAATTCCAGGTAGTGGTAATCAGCCATCCAACTGTCCTTAGCAGAGCTTGGACAGGAACAGGAAAGGTTCATGTATTTCGTTGTCATAATAAAAGTTTAATTGCTCCACATTTGGCTTTTGTAAAACACGTTTAACTTTTTCTTCAGATGTGTCTTGTGGCATCTTGGGGCTCCAACAGAAATGCATGGCTGTAAACCAGAGCAAGATTTAACCTAAACTGTACCATTTGAAGTGGAAAGTATTACCCAGAATGTTCCCAAACAAACCTATGTTCCTTCAATTCTCCCTCCCACATCCCATTCTAGCAGTAAAAAGTTTGCCTCCTTCTAATATTGTTCTCAAACTAGTGGTTCTCATCAGAAGATCTCAGAGAAAACATATCTACCCATGCCTCTGTCTTTTACCATTCCTGTCCTACTTTTCCCGGCCTGCGAAGGACTGAGTGCTGATACAGCTACATCCCTCTCACTGCCACTGGGAAGCATCTTCATTATTTTATCTTGGAGTTTTCTGGAGATCTTTTCCTTTCCTGATCAATTCCTGACATCACCCCCACCAGGACTCTGCAGTTTTTCAGGTTGCTGCTTACACAGCAATAGAAGAGATACCTTGCTCGTATTTACTACACCAGATTCCTCCCCTTCTTCAATGAATTTCTAGCAATTTCTAGACTCATCACTTCATGAATTCCTTCTATATTACTCTCCTATATAAATGCCTTAGTGAAGAATTGCTGCTATCATTCTGTATTATATAAATACAAGATTAACAATAAAAAGCCTAATATGTGATTAGGGGAGTAGCAGCATCAAGAATAAGGAATAACAAATATTCTAAGTCATTTCTGTTATAAGTCCAGCCAAATTAATATGGTAGCTGTTTGTTCTTAACCACCACCACCACCCACACCTCCCACACCAAACTTCAAAGAAAATGAACAGCTGAATTGTTCTACTCAAGCTCAAAGTTTTTAACACCCTCTTCTCTGGTAGCCTCATTTCACCTATTTCCCTTGAGCAGTTACTCAGCCCATCCTGGTGAACAGAATGCAGCTGGTAATGCCAACCAGTATTTCAATTAGGAGCTCCAGTGAAGAGCCCAGTGAATGCCTTACCTTGAGTGAACCTCATCTAATAGTCTACAATGTGATACTATTTCTAGAGTGGAAGTTATTATTCTTCCAAACAAGACTGTTGACTGGTAACCAAGGAAACACATAGATTATGCAATGAGAAAGAGAGTAAGAAAGAGAGAAGGAGAGAAAGAGAGAAGGAAAGGAAGAAAGTAGAAAAGAAAGAACCATAGAGACAAGTGCTAGCAAATTAAATTATCATGAGGAAAATTCCCTCTCAGAACCAGATACCCTGAGATGGGCCTGATGCCAGCTGAAAAAAATTAACAGAATGGACTTTTAAAGTTGCTCACAAGAGGAACTGGACCAAGAATTTGGGAAAATGTTCCCTATGATTTATATGGTGCAATGTGAAATCTGCATCTGCAACATTCTGCTCTCTTCAACTCACATGTGGAGGACACTCTAACATTCTGCACACCAGGTTCCAGATCTTCTGCTATTGATCTGAAACAATCTTTTCTCTTTAGGAGAGTAAATAAATGTAAATAACACTGGTCCAGCGATGCAGCTTCTTTCCAGTTCTGCCTTTAAAGCCATTTAAACGAATACAAATACTGTTAGTTGCTATTTCCAGGCTGATCTCTTAAGTGAAGCTAATTATGGTGCTTGTCTTACTGGCCTGAATTTGGCACTGTAGGTCAAAACTGAGTAACTGAGTTTTGCCTTCCTGTAAGGAATTGCTTGCAAGCTTTTTCCTTTGGATATATGCAATACACACAAGGCTTTTCAGTGACAGAGGTGACCTTTTATAGTTACCAGTGAGGACAGAACAGGGATTTGAAGGAAAAAAAAAGTTAAATACCTTTACAAGCAGCTTACAGAAATGTTTCTGACTGAAGTCCAGCCAGCTTACTGGACATGTCAGTTGTGAACTGCCCTGGGTCTGAAAAGGTGAGCCAGGAGCTGCTTTCATCTCCTTACAGGGATTTCACATCTTGAGAGAGTAAATAATTCAGGCTCTGCCTGCATCAACCCTCCCCATATCAACTAAATGCTAGAGGATATGTTCTCAGGCATCATGCACTAGCAGCAATGATGCAATAAGGCAACTCTAGATCATGTCTAAGACAATAATAGACTCCAGACAGTATAATTAGCAATAGGACATTAATTTAGGATCTGGATAATCCAGATTCCAACCTCTGCTCTCTAACAGGTATCTAGGCTCTTTGGATGACATCCTCTAACTCTAAAGGACTAAAGTCAGACAGTTAAGTTTATCTAAGTCTCTGAGCCTGGGACCTACCAGTTTAAAGTTAGGTTATTTGAATGTTTTGGTTTATCTGTGTTTCCAGTGTCTCTGCCTGTAAACTGGGTGTAACAGCACTGTTAACCTCACCCTGCTGTGAGAGTAAATACCATGACAAGGTTCCTGGGCGCTGAGATGGAAAGAGTTGCATAAGCATCTAAGACGTTAAGTCAGACAGTGGTCACATATGGTCACATCCATCATATTTCTGGAAGCAGCATTCCTTAGAAAGTGAGTGGACAAACACTAACTTAAGAAGCTGTGTTGCCTTTAATGAAGTTTCACATCCAAATATATCAACACTATGACTGCCTTCCCAGCCAAAAGAAATTAAAAGAACGTAAGTTAACAACTTTCTGAGGGAGAGATGGTACCAGAGCAACAGGTACTTGCTTCAGTACCGGGGCTGATGATTGTCTTCATATCATAAAGTGCATACTTACAGCATGGGTGTGTAACATAAACACAAGTCAGGTATTTGCCAGTTCCAGTAAAACGATTTGAGCTGATACTTGTCTACATGCAAATCATGTCAGATACCAGCTTGGCCCAACCAGTAAAACAAGGTGCACGGACCCTTTTGTTTAAGACTAAACACAATATATCTACTGGCCTCACTCACATCAGCAATGTGAGCTCACACCTACAAACACAATGGATTTAGTTCCAAACAAATGTCATTCCATCACAAGTACCTGGACTACTAATTCAACTGATTTGTTAAACTTGCTCTAGTTAAACAAACTAGCGTAGTGTCTTCACTTGAACAAAGGGATGCTGGAAGCATGCACACAGATCAAACAAATGCAACAATTTCTTTGAATGTTTAGTCTTATTTTTATTCTTTCAACACTTTTCAGTATGAATTTTTGAAAGCTACAGTACCTATAGAAGTCAAAGCTGTCATAGTCTTTACAATTACAAGAGATCAACATCAAAACTTTTCCAAAGTTTCAAGTTGCTGTATAATAGTTTCAACTTCCAATGCTGCTGGGCACAGCCTGAAGACTTCTTTTATTAAGGAACAAAATCTCAGGTCAGGGACATACAAAGAAGAATTTTTCAAGACAAGACAGGTGGAGACTTCCACTCCTGCTTTCAAGACCAGCTTAAATGATTAAATAATTAATAATGCTTTCTTAAACTCATTTAGGTTTCCAATAAGACAAATCAATGTCTCATTAAATATCCAATTTACCCAGAGTAACACGTACACTGACTGGGACAACTGGGAAGTCTGAATGACATAATTTAATTTGGGGGAAATAAAGAGAATATAAAAAAATCAATAGCATCTTCATCCATGAGGAAAACAGTCTTTGTGACTGGAGTATTGCTTTGTGCTAACGTCACTCAGCATACATATCACCATGATTTTTGTCATTCCTTATGTTCCCTTGTGAATCATGCAATGTTGATTTCATTACATTTTGCAACAGCACTATATTGATGTAAATTCAAAGCAACTCTAACAGCTTGAGCATATTTGTTACTGCATTTTATCTAAACTTTTCAAAATAATCCCAGATCTGCAAAGAAACAATTAAAAAGAAAAGGAGACAGAAAAGGCCATTAACAACCCAATGTTCCTATGAGAAACCAAAGGCATTTTCTGAGCAAAGTGAAAGACTTAATTTGTTGTGTAAAGTTTAAAACTGTCCTGTTGGGGTGTTTTATGTAAAGCAGATCATTGTATGAGGGTTTAATAACAATTATATGTTTTGTTGCATCAGACAGAAAAAAGGACATCAGTTTTTGTACCGAACCTTTTTGGAATGAAAATTACAGCAACTACTTAAAGAGACACAGTTGTTGAATAAAGAAAACAATGAAAATAAATACTGCAGCTTGCTTTATTAATGATTCTCTCCCTGAACACAGAACTGTTAGAAATCAAAGGCTCAAGCTAAGTGACTCTTAGCTGCAGACTCTTGCTGGTAAGACTCCATGTATCTGCTGCAAGCCAGAAAATACC